GAAGGGCTTGTCCCTCAATTAGGCAACATGTTCCCAGTCCTGAGCCTCAGGAGGCAAGATATCTGTGTCCTATGGATCAAGTAAAGTGTGGGGAGGCTCGAGAAGTGAATTCTAGAGTGTGATCCAGGAGTCCTGGGTTCCAGCTCTGCCACTAGCTCTCTGGGTGACCTCTAGCAAGACTCTTTCCCTCTTCGGCCTCATTCCCTTTGCTGAAAAGTATATGGATGAGACTAGATGATCTAGCTACAAACACCTCTACATCCTTGAGGTAGGGGTATGCTAACTGGAAGTAGCTGGAGGACCCAGAGGAGAAGCACGCAAGTCAGGAGCATGGATCCTCTGGGGCAGAGACATGACCACCTAGCCCCAACCAGGTCAGGGTGGAAGTGTCCTTCTTGGACCTGATGCTGAGAATGGCAGACTCCATGTAAAGGGGCAGAAGATAGTGCTCCTAACAGAGAAGCCAGGACATGGCCAAGATTCTGGGACCTGGTGCCCATTTTCCCACTCCATGCTCCCCTTGCTGCCTTCTATCACTTGTCCAATAGCCATGTACTGAGCACCTACTACATGCCATCCTTGGTCTTGCCTTAACAGGAGTTATCTGGGAGCCCTGAGGGTAGATACTATGTCTGCAACATCTTTGTGTTCCCAGGGCTCAGGGCGAGGCCTGAAATGCAGGATGTTTCCTGAACTGAACTTAAGGCTAAGAGTAAGTAGGCTCTGTGAGAGATGAGAGGGGCACTGGGGCAGGCCTGTCCCTCACTGTGGTGTGATGGGAGCTACTTTAGGCTTTTGGTCTATTCTCTCCAGGCCCTCTATGTGAGCAAAGGAGCCAAGAGCTTGTATACAGGTCTGGATCAGGGCCTTTAGTGGGAGCAAAGGCTCTTGGGAGCCAGCGTGGAGGGGACAGCAGAATCAAAGACAAGGAGAGGCTGGCTGGTGGGAGCAGTCATGGCCTGGAGCCCAGCCACCGTCCATGTTGGAAAGAAGCCTTTCCCTGGCATGTCAGCTGGGAGTGTTCCCTGCCAGGGCTCTGCTTACATCCATCAGTGCTGCGTTGATGTAGTTGCTGGATTCTCCATCCACCGAGATGAGGAAGGGCAGGCAGCGGTCCAGAGGCAGGACATCCATGTTCCGATTCTTGTCATGGTTCCGGGGCAGGAGCCCGATGCTGCAGTCCTCAGGCCGGACACGTGGTGTCACAATGTTGAGGGTCTGTGGGGCACAAGGACAGAGAGACAGGCATTGTTCAGATGGCTGCTCCTGAACAGAGGACACTGTGATCTTCCAAAGTCAGTCCTAACTCCCTTATCTCCACCCTCCAAGCTTGGCCATCTGGTCACTTTCTCAGGACTCCTGCCTAGATCTATTTCTCTTCTGTGGTGATGATCTACAATCACTAGTGAGCTGAGAACCTCTGCCAGGGGCTGTGTGACACCTCCAAGACAGCCAGGCAGCAGGGGCAGTGTTCCTACACACAGGCACACCGAGCTCCCAACACCTGCCAACCATTCATGTCAAATTGTTCAACTCAGGAGGTGTTGCATTAAAGGCTGGGTGGCCAGGAGGTCATATGGTGGGTACCAAACCAACCCACTGCCGTTGAGTTGATTCTGACTCATAGCAATCCTATAGGACAGAGTAGAACTGCCTTAGGGTTTCCAAGGCTGTATTCCCTTTTTTTAAAAATTGTTTTAATTTAAATGAAGTTTACATTTCAAGTTAGTCTCCCATACAAAAATTTATACATACATTGTT